TTCACAGTTTTTTTTCTTTGATCCAACCTTAGCGTGCAACTCCTAAAGCATCTTGTGGAGCACTTAGTTGCAGTCCACCAGCCCATCATAAACCTATTGTTCATTGTTCACCTCATTTCCAATGTTGGTTTTTTATGGTAACCATTCATAGATCACTTAGCTCGCAAGGATTCCTATATCAACGGTATAGCAACATTTTTCACACTTTGCACTGTTGAATATCTAGACTGTTGTCAGTTTTAGCATAAAGGAGTCATTGAGTTATTCATCCCATTGGAGACTGCGCACCAATATCATGCAGAAAGATTGGTGCATTTTTATAGGATTTGGTTGTTAATGTTGTCGCTCTTTCCATGTTTAGTTGCAACTTGAAAAATCTATTACACTAATCATATAGAGTCAACTCGCTCACATGAACTAAATTTATTTTTCGACACAAAAAAACTTCAATTAAATATCATAAAAGTTTAAAAGTTTCTCCAATTGTTGTTATGTTCGTCGCTCTTTCCATGTTTAGTTACAACTTGAAAAATCTTTTACACTAATCATATACAGCCAACTCGCTCACATGAACTAAATTTATTTTTCAACACAAAAGAAATTTCAATTAAATATCATAAAAGTATAAAAGTTTCTCCAAATTTGTCAAGATTAATCATGGTCTTGACCAAACTAACATTAAAGCCTAGATCAATGTTCTGGAACTTAAGTTGTCGCTCATGTATAGCAGTTTTTAACTTCCAAACACAAAATAGATACAAAGTAAGAAAGAAATTTTCATTAGTATAGATCAACTAAATTTCTTACTCGTTCATCTAAACTAACAAAAAAAGTTAACATTGCTCCCTCATCTATACACTAATATACTAATGCCTCGTTTGCTACGCTGGAATGAACTTCTCGTTCATTCATACCAGATACGACATGTTTTTTAAGCTAGAAATTCAATTCCTAGCTCATCAATTCCCACTTTGTGGGAATGGCCATTTCCAATGCGATGTTAGAGAATTGGCATTCTCATTTGATTGCAAATAAAAAATACACAGCTTTCAACATGCTTATTCTCATTTCATTGTAGCAATATAATTTGGTTATTATGAGCCAATCCATAAATATTGTAAATTGAACGAATTCATCAGCTATAACCCATGAGTTGAATGAAATGTGATTCCCAAGTTAGTAACTAAAAGATGCGAGAAAGCTTTTATTTGATTATATCATCTCAATGAAACCATCACCTTCTTCAAGTGAAGACCCTAAGCTTTTAAGTAATCTAAGTCTTCTATGTTAATAGGCACATTAAATTTATGTTGTACGCCAAGTATTTTACTCTAAATTCTAAGCATTTATCCTGAGAACAATGAATTATAAGGAGCATTTTGATTACTCACTCATTCATTATTTAATAGTGAATACTTTGGGCTCTCAATTTGTTGACTCCTTGCATCATTTTTGTTGCACAATGTGCATTTGGGTATTTCTTTACAAATGCAAATAAATTTGGTTCTTTAATGAGATAGTCTATAGTGTTTCGGTCTTAAGGTATATTTATGAATTTTGTTTCCTGTTTTAGTTTTCCCCCTTTTCTCATGACAATAGATGAGTCAATAACAAAATATCATGATTGATGATAATAATATTTGCTCATCGGGTAAGCCATCTTTTTTATTGCACGACCTCTTGGCAAATATTTATTTTTAGCTTTTGCTTACCTAGAGATTAATGGAAATTGAAAATCATCATTGGCACAAATAACTTTATATGCACACTTTTGCTTTTTGGACCTCTTTATTCAGGTTTAAACAAGATGTTTGTGTTGAGTGTCAAAAATTATTCATTCAACGCTTCTCTTTATTTGACACGAACATTATGGGATCACCTACTGAACAATGCACAATGTGACATTCTTACTTGGTATCCTGTGTTTCTATTGGAAATCAAGATTCACATTGTAATAAAGATGGATAGATTTTTCTTTTTTGCATGTTGAATCATATCTGATTAAACTTATCGAATGATATTTGAAAATTTTATACTCGGTGTATTTCTAAAATATTGGTGGGTAATATAGGTATGTGCAATAACAAGAACCCTATTGTGATTATTAAAGTTAAGTGATGGGCGTAGTACCAAGTTTTTCAACTACAATATGGATGATTAATGCAGAAGTATCAACAAAGGATACCATGTATTGTGTATACCCTTGATGATGATGATGCAACTTGATAATATTATGTAAATGGAAGATTGATTATGTGAAGGTGTTAACTCATAGCAGGCCTTTTGTAAAATAAAGTTATGTATATTGTATACTTGAACATTCACCTGGCAGAACATTAACGCTTCGTATGTATGTATAATATATTGCTAAGGATGAGTTTGCAAAATAGGAATAATGAGAAATTCTTTTGTACAAATTTAAATTGATATGCAAGAAATTATTGTTGCTTAAAATGTATTTAATTTAAGCTTACTATTTCATGTTTCTCACAAATAGAAACACAATTTATTTTAGTTTATTGTCATGTCTTATATTTGGATGGAGTATATATAGTTTGAAGTATGGATATGGTACAACTAAACTCTCAATGTGTTTTATTTAAATGATTATTGATGCCATAAATATTATATTTCAACGATGCTTGCCCTTGGTTGGCACAAGAAAAAATACTTATATGCTAACTTATATGTGTGCATAAATATTGTACATAAATATAAAAGGTTATAAAAAAACAAAACTAGGTTTGAAATTAAGAGTGAAAAAATATGGATGATAGAAGAAATTAATAGTTGTGCTTTGCACGAGGAAAAAGACTAGTAATATACTAATGCCTCGTTAGGTTCGTGGGAATGAACTTCTCGTTCATTTGTACGGTTGTACCAAACACAACGTGTTTTTTCAAGCTAGAAATTTGATTCCTAGCTCATCAATTTCCACTTTATGTGGGACTGGTTGTTCCCAATGAGATGTTAGAGAATGGGATTCTCACTTTAAGTGAGAATAAAAAAATACACAACTTCCGACATGCTCATTTCCAATTCATTCTCAAATTGCACTCAAACGTGAGAATGGAATGAGCATTTCATTCCCACATTAATTCCAGTCTGTTCCTTGTTTCATTCGATTCTCACTTCACCCAACTCAAGCGTATCAAATGAGACATAAGAGAATAGGGCAATCGCGGAATGCTCCTGTCTACTTATCTGCACGCTGTAGCGGAATAAGAACAGGGAACGAAAATATGTTGTTCTTCCTCATCTTTTTCCTTGCGCAACACACATACAAATCCATGCACTATGCCAAGGTTCAGAAGCCCATCTCCATGATCTTGTTGTTAATTTGAACCTTATATGAATCTGTCTACATATTTGAGGCCGCAGGTAAATAAAAGGATTCTCAAACTGTCATTATCTAAGGAAAAAGTATAAGTACGAGGGAAAATGGCTCCTTTAATCATTTCCTGAATCTAATTACCTTTATTCTGCGCAAACGAGTAATTTTACCCACGTAAACAGAAAAATCAACCAACAGGAGAAGATCATCATTCAGAACATCAAGACGAAATACATTAGAAGTTTGATTAGCAAAATAATTCGTAAACCCTAAACGATACCATAATTAGGGATCTCGACGAAAAAAATCTTGATTTTTTTGAGCCCTAGAGACCGAGGGGCGTACCTTTAAAAGAGAAGGCGATAGATCGTCGAGACGAAGGGGACGGAGAGAGATAACGGCGACGGAGAGAGAGTCGTGGGCACGTTTTTTGTGGAGTTTACGACGATGGGGTCATTTGTTCGAGGATTCCGCAGAGAGAGGAGGGGTTAAGATTAGATTTAGGGGTGCCGACCCTAAAATGGCTTTCATTTACCTTTTTGGCTTATTATCAATTTGGCACCCAAAAGTTCACCTCTTATTGCACTACGCTGCCCAGAGTATTTACTTTGATATTACAAACTTTGAAATCAATTTCACTTTAATACCTTAAAGTGTTTCTTTAACATTTTGATAACCCAATGTTTCAACGACATTTTCGCTTTTACACACCCATCTAAATATTGTTAGATCTTTTGTTAAATTTGTATGGCGCTTGTGTTTGCCTACTATTTATTTTTTGCATCCTTGTGAGTTACTTATTACTTACTCTCAAAACTCCTTATGAGTATGTAAGAAACTAAAGATGTTATTTTATCAAAAAAAGAAAATTATTTAATAAATTCCTTCACTTATAAGGCTATATAAGTAATTATGAGTAGGGTGAACTAATAACTTATAAGACTATTGTTCATCTCTGATATCAAAAAGTCAAATGGAAGAATTGATTAAGATGACGGAGGTCCTCTAACCCTCCGAATGTTTGGTTCTGGAGTAAGATGTTCTTCCTTGCACAAATAGCAAATCATAATAGGGGGGGTGGGTTCCCCGGTTGTTCCTCCGACGATCAAGTTAGTGATTTATTTGAGTGGGGAAGTAAAATGAATTGCAATAGTTCTTAAGCACGGCGAGTAGCGGTCAACATCTTACCTTATTATTGAAAATAGTATTCCTATTTATAGTGATGGTATAAATGTAGAATGTTAACTTCGGATGAGTATGGGATGACGACCACGTCAGCCTCTCTACTTTACAGGTGTCGGTCAATGAGTGGAGGAGAGGTCATTTTGATATTTAATGCGAAGTGATTGGGGGTGCGCGGTGCCGACGTGGTCCGATATGACATAAAGATTATTGGGGGCAGAGGAATAATGGCGGCCATAATGCATTTAATGGCATTTTTATTGCGAGGTGATTGGTCGTCAGTGCACGGGCTCAAGGTTTTTCGTCGCCTTTCTACTTGTTTGGTGGTCGAGAAGTACCGCCTTTTGAATCACCATCGTAAGGTGCCGACCGGTTAGTCTATCAAGTGGAGTGATTAAGTAGTCGACTTAGCCAAGGGACGCCACGTGACGCCTTTTGGGTCATCGACACGTGACGCCTTTCAGGTCGTCGACACGTGACGTCTTTCGAGTCGTTCTCGCATGATGTCGGCGTATCGAGTCGACCGAATTGGTCCTTTGATTATCTTAAAACGCTGACTTAATTATGCATAATGTGGGACACTTGTCTGCCATTGAATGAAGATTATTTTTCATCACTAAAACGGCTTTAATAGCTATGTTAAATGTCAAATGACTAAAAAAGACATATTGATGTTACTCCACACCGTGACTAATTAATTTGTTTTATATTAACCAGAGATATTAAATGTATTAATTATTTAAAAAGTAATTAATTTACATTTATCTATTTTTAAATTAATTATGATTATTAATTAATAAATGTTGAGATTAGTTAATTAGTTTCATTAATTAAAAATTAGTTATCTCAAAACAATAAATATATTTTATTAAAATAATTTTATATATTACATTATTTATTATTATTTACTAATATCAAGATTTATTAATTAGATCATATTAGTAAAATATTATTATTAATAAAATATTTATTTAATAATACTTATTTAATATATTTTATTAAAATAATTTTATGTAATGCATTATTTGTTATTATTAATTACTAATATTTTGATTAATTAATTAATTTGATATTAATAAAAAGTTGTTATTAATAATTAATTAATTAACATATAAAAATTAGTTATCTCATGGTAAGAAATATACTTTATTAAATTATTTTTATATTACATTATCTGTGATTATCAATTAGTAATATTGAGATTAATTAATTTAATATTAATAAATTAATTTCTAGTAATAATTAATTATCAATTAATTATATATTATTAATAAATTATTAACAAATGAATAAATTAATTAGTACTTTATAAATTAATTATTAATAATTTAGTTAACTAATTAATTAATAACTAAGTAAAGAGAAAAGGAGAATATTTTTACAATAAAAAATATTTTACTAAGTAAGAAGAATAGGAGGGTATTTTTACCTTTTGGCCAAAATAAGAAAAGGTCCTTATAAATAGAGAAACCATAAGTTGGAAGTTTTTAACTTATTTTTTCTTTACTTATATATAAGTAACAAAATACGTAAAATAAGTAACTATGACCAAACACCATATTGACACCTTATAAATAAAAAAGTAAAGTTTCTTAAAAAGAGAAATAAGTAAGTTGCCAAACATGCTCTTAATGTCTCGTTTAAATCCATTTCAATAAAGTTGCTAAAGTGCTCGTACAAAATTTACCAAAAATCTAAATGAACCTAGACAGTTGTATCAAAGTAAAATCATATTGAAATTGGACAAATTTTTGAAAACACCCAATTTTAAAAATTATATAGCAAAATCGACCGCTACTGAAAAAAATCAGCAAAACCGACTCTTTTCAGAGAAAAGGGTCGGTTTTGTTGAAGGAAGATTTTTTCGGACCGCACGGGACTAGCAGTCATGTGCATCTATAGTTGCAAACATTAATCTTGCCTCTTTCTCCCTCGTAGATCTCACTCACCTCTAAAAACTTCTTCTTTACCCCCTCAACACTCTCCTTAATCTCGTCGTTCTCCTTCGTCAGCTCCTCCACCTCCTTCCCCATCCAAAAGCACATCCCGTTACCGTAGGCGGTATCTTCACCGCCCACCTCACTTTCAGCCCTCGGCCTCAGCGGCACCGTAGTCCTCACCCTCACCCCAACTCTTGTTAGACCCTAGAGGGGGGTGATTAGGGTCTTATGCTAATCTAATCTGATTTTATACCAATTAGAACTAATTAACAAGTTATTCTTGCAAGATAGATGTACAATATGTTATAAGCAAGAATGAGTAATATAACCAAAGAGCAATATCCTAGCAATGAGATATATGATGAATTATATACAATGATATATAAACTAATATAAGGGGAAATAAACAATCTACAAATGTGATAGGTCAATATGAAGAGCAATACACAAAGGCGATATAAGATATGAATACAAGGATAGGTATGCCAATGCAATCACAAACAAAACGATATGATCATGGAGTTCGGTCTAACCACTTGACCTACGTCTTCGTTCCTCACCTCGAGGAGATCTTCACTATCACAACCGGGTTTTCTACACTTACCCGAATAACGTTTGCACCTAACATTCGGTTTTCTAGCTAACCGAAAAATTTACAACTACACACTTGCAATCACACTCTACACCCTCTAAGTGTTGGCCTAGTCCGTATCCTCCTCCTCAAGTTCTCGGATGCAACCTCTCCCTAGGTTCGTCAACCGACATCACTCCTATTGGATTCGACCCCGTCTCTCACCACACACTACTCTCGATGTACAAGTATATTACAAGTGATACTCACAATATAAATTCAAATACAATGTTTTATTCTCTATAATGAATGAGAACATAATGTAGCTCACTCTCAATGATACACTCCTCACAACCCAAATATACAATATGTGTAAAATACTAAAGCTCAATGGTTGTGTGTGCAAACAATGAGAAACAACAAAATCAAATGTAAACTCAATATAAATCTAGCTTAATGAAGATAATAATCAATAACAAATATAAATGCAAAGCTAGAATTGAGTTTAGAAAAACTTCTCTAGAACAAGAGAGATGGAGATGTGAAATTGAAAGCTCAAACCCAAGTTGATCTCCTCTTCTTGTTAAACAATCTTCACAAACCCAATTTTGTAAACAAACACTTAAACAAACTTAAACCCTTATAAAAACTTATTTAAAACATCTCTTGGTTGTAGAAAATAGTTATGAAAAAGGGGTATATATATAGGGAAGAAGAAAACAACCCAAAAAATCCTAAAAACCCACTAAAAAACAAAAATCAGCAAGTTACTGTTACCGTGCAACGGTAACATCGGCGGTCGACCGTGACGGTCGACCGTGAGAAGAAAAATTACAAAACTGATCTCTGGACTGCTGACGGTCGACCGTGGTAGTCGACCATACTGTAGCACGGTCGACCGTGATGGTCGACCGCACTTTTCCAGATTTTGACAGATACTAAAATTTTGCGTATCTGACTTTGTAAAATCAATTAAAAATAGTAAATCAACTCCAAAAACTATGAAATTTTGAGAGAAGGTTCTAGACATGTAGATTAACATGTTAGAGAAAGAATTTCTGAAATATCACTTCCTAGTTGAGATAAATAATTGTTTGAACACAGATATACAGTTTCTAAAAAAAAAACTGCTGAAAACACATTTATGTAAATTCAATTGAAAATAACAAAACAACTCCAAAATTAGTAAAACTTGGGAAAATGTTTGTATATATGATGATAAACATGTAAACAAGAAATTTTTCAAATATCATTTCCTAATTGTGAAAACACATCAGTTTTGCAAAAACATGCACGAACATGTGCACGAACATGAGCTTATTAAAAACTTGATTTTGTAAATTCAAATAAACATAACAAATTAATTCCAAAATTGATAAAACTCTGGGAAACATTTATAAACATGAAATTGAATATGTTAGAAAAAGAATTTCTCAAATTGAGTTTCCCATTTGTGAAAACTCATGTATTTTGTAAGTGTGTCCAAAACATAAAAATGTGATATACATAAAATTTGATGTTTTGACATAAACAATGTTTTGAAACCCTATGAAATAATTTTTTTTATAGACTTAATGAAATATGTATACAATGATTGTTAAGTCCATAAACCAAAACTTGCGTATATATATAACTATATATATAAAAACCAAACATATGTGTGTATATATGATTGAGCTTAAAATACTAATACACATAATATAAAACCTAAACTAAATATACCCAAGCTTGATTGATTTTCGATGAAGCTAGAACTTGGATCTTTAATTTGAATTGCATAGGCTTCACTCCACAATTCTGCCAACCTCCATTG